TTATAAAAAGTCTGCTTTGTATGTGGGAACAACAAATATACGAATTGAACCACTGGTTTAACATGACAATATCAATGAACATGTTTTCTGTGCCCGAAAATATTTAACAACCCATAGTACAAGGGATATCCAAAAAGATGTCTAGAGATCCTTGTTATAATTAATAAAACAAAAATTTATTTGATTTATTTTATCAAATACCGTGTATAATGCCGCATTCAAAACAAGGGACACCCACTCTAAATTTGTAAGGTAAACTCGGGCTAGCAGGTCAGTTTTGATGGGCTAGCAGCTCTTTCAACAGGGCTAGTAAAATCCTGCTACCAATAAGTCCTGGGCTAGTGAGCTGTAACAAATTTTTTTAACCCCTGAGATGGTTTGAATGATATACAGGGTTAGTCCCCAGGGGTCACCCCCACCCCCTACCATTTAAGAAAGTTCTAATATCTTGTAAGTGGTCGAGATCCCCACCCCTAAACCATATATATTCCTGTTTGTCATGTCTCGAACATTTGAATGACGTATAGGGTCAGACCCCAGGGGTTCCCCCCACCCCCAATGTTCTAATATCTTGTAAATGGTTGAGATCCCCACCCCTAAACCATATATATTCCTGTTCGTCATGTCTCGAACATTTGAATGACGTATAGGGTCAGTCCCCAGGGGTTCCCCCCACCCCCAATATTCTAATATCTTGTAAATGGTCGAGATCCCCACCCCTAAACCATATATATTCCTGTTGGTCATGTCTCGAATATTTGAATGACGTATAGGGTCAGTCCCCAGGCATCATTAATGCATATAACTTTACTCTACCAAACCAATTTTCACTGGACTTTGCTCAATGTCAAGCGACTTTTGGAATTACGAATTATAGGAGCTTCGTTTGGGAGACTTCGTAACAGCATCCTGTTACAATCATTTCTTGTTTTAGAATGTAAATGTTGGTTTTTATACGCTTGTTTACGTTACGTATTATGGTATACCGCTGACCGTCTGTCCGTCCGTCAACATGTCAGTCATTAATTCAAAAATGCTTTAACTAATATGCATGAAACTTTGGTGAATTGTATATATCTATTGACGTGAGCTCCCTTTCGTTTTTTATAAATTTCAGATTTACCATTTTCGAGTTTGGGGGTTTTATTCATTAAAAAAGGGGAGATTTTCCAGTTTTCGGACAATAACTCTAAAACAATTTCTCCAATTTGCATGAAACTTTCGTCAATTGTTCATAAATTTCGGATTTACCGTTTCAGAGTTTTGGGGTTTTATTCATTAAAAAAGGGGGGATTTCCAGTTTTCAGACAATAACTCAAAAAAATTTCACCAATTTACATGAAACTTTTGTGAATTGTTCATATCTATTGAAGTGAGCCTCCTTTCGTTTTTTATAAATTTCGGATTTACCATTTCCGAGTTTTGGGGTTTTATTCATTAAAAAAGGGGTGATTTTCCGGTTTTCAGACAATAACTCAAAAACAATTTCACCAATTTGCAAGAAACTTTGGTGAATTGTTTATTTCTATCGACATGAGCTCCCTTTTGATTTTTATAAATTTCAGAATATATATTTATGGGGTTTTATTCATTACAAAAAGGGGAATTTTCCAGTTTTCAGACAATAACTAAAATATGCTTTCAGCATTTTTTATGAGACTTTGGTAAATTGTTTATATCTATTTTTGTAAGCTCCCTTTTGATTTTTATAAATTTTCAATTTTACATTTCAGAGTTATAAGATTTTATTTGTTTATAGTCTGACAACAGATTTACTAAGTATTGTGCAACAGCACAGTGTATTGCACAACAGCAAGAAATCTTTCATATAACCAATTTCAAGTTCTTTGATTACATTTATTCAAAAACCTATAATATATCAAATATTTAATTACAATCCAAATTCAGACCTGTATCAAGCTTGAATATGGTGTCCATTTTTGCCCCAACTGTTCAGGGTTGGACCTCTGCGGGCGTATCCAGCTGTGCTCAGTGAAGCAGTTTATTATATTTGATAGAATATAGTTCCATATTTAAGGCAATATTTAGGTCTTCCTGTTCCTGTTTCTATGTTTTCAGAAAACTTAGAAAACAAAGGGTACTTGTTTTTTTTTTGGAAACAATAATTATTACAAGTGTGTATGGTTACAATATTATATTCAATGCCATAAACTGACACTGGAAAAATAATTTTAACATTCCTGGTAGTGAGATCACTAGGGAGAGAAATATTGAGACCACTAGGGAGAGAAATCAATCATTACTGGTATTGTAAACAAGGGAGAGAAATCAATCATTACTGGCATTGAGACCATAAGGGAGAGAAATCCATCATTACTGGTATTGAGAACACTAGGGAGAGAAAACAATCATTACTGGTATTGAGAACACTAGGGAGAGAAATCAATCATTACTGGTATTGAGAACACTAGGGAGAGAAATCAATCATTACTGGCATTGAGAACACTAGGGAGAGAAATCAATCATTACTGGCATTGAGACCATTAGGGAGAGAAATCAATCATTACTGGCATTGAGACCATTAGGGAGAGAAATCAATCATTACTGGTATTGAGAACACTAGGGAGAGAAATCAATCATTACTTGTATTGAGAACACTAGGGAGAGAAAACAATCATTACTGGTATTGAGAACACTAGGGAGAGAAATCAATCATTACTGGTATTGAGAACACTAGGGAGAGAAATCAATCATTACTGGCATTGAGAACACTAGGGAGAGAAATCAATCATTACTGGCATTGAGACCATTAGGGAGAGAAATCAATCATTACTGGTATTGAGAACACTAGGGAGAGAAATCAATCATTAATGGCATTGAGAACACTAGGGAGAGAAATCAATCATTACTGGCATTGAGACCATTAGGGAGAGAAATCAATCATTACTGGTATTGAGAACACCAGGGAGAGAAAACAATCATTACTGGTATTGAGAACACTAGGGAGAGAAATCAATCATTACTGGTATTGAGAACACTAGGGAGAGAAATCAATCATTACTGGTATTGAGAACACTAGGGAGAGAAATCAATCATTACTGGTATTGAGACCATTATGGATTACTGGTATTGAGGACGCTAAGGAGAGAAATCAATCAGTACTGGCATTGAGAACACTAGGGAGACAATAAGTATATACAACAATATAATGTACAGTGCTTTGAATGATCATCTTTTAATTGATTTTTAGACTAAGAGTGATTGTTTAGCTTAATGATTCTATTTTTATACGACCGCAAACAATTTTTGCAGTCGTATATTGGTATGACGTTGGCGTCGTTGTTGTCCGAAGACACATTGGTTTTCGCACTCTAACTTTAGTTTAAGTGAATGGATCTCTATGAAATTTTACCATAAGGTTCAATACCACAAAAGGAAGGTTAAGATTGATTTTGGGGGTTATGGTACCAACAGTTAAGGAATTAGGGGCCAAAAATAAGCATTATTGTAACTTCCAGACATAACTTGTGTGTTAGTGTATGGATCTCTTTGACATTGTACCACAAGGTTCCATATCACACAGGGAATGCTGGGATTGATTTTGGGGGTAATTGCCTCAAAATGTTAGGAATTAGGGGCCAAAAAAGGGGCAAAAAACAAGCATTTTTCTAGTTTCATGATAATAACTTGTGTTCAAGTGTATGGATCTTTCTGAAATTGTACTACAAGGTTCCATATCACAAAGGGAAGGCTGGGATTGAGTTTGGGGGTGATGAATCATAAGGGGGTTCAAAAAATTTGGGGGGGGGGGGATTTTTTTTTTTCTTTTAAAATTTTCCATTTTAAGTTGGTTATTTCTGTTTTATATTTAAAAGCAAATAATAATGATATGGTAGGAGATACACACCAAACAGGATGTGTAAATTATTGTATAATAAGTATTGTGCAATAGCAAGAAATTTTCAATTGCACAGTATTGCACAATAGCAAGAAATCTTCAATTGCACAGTATTGCGCAATAGCAAGAAATCTTCAATTGCACAGTATTGTGTAATAGCAAGAAATATCCAATAGCACAATATTGCGCAATAGCAAGAAATTGTCAATTGTACAGTATTGCGCAATAGCAAGAAATATTCAATTGCACAGTATTGTGCAAAAGAAGATACTTCGTATAAATTGCTTAATTTTTGACCAATTTCAATGGGGTTTTTATTCTTGAATTCTAGGGGTTCTTTAATATGCTGATTCTAACCGTGTATTAAGTTTTTGGATTTTGGGCCCGTTTTTAAATTGGTCCACATTGAGGTCCAAAGGGTCTAAAATTAAACTTTGATTGATTTCATCAAAAATTGAATTATTGGGGTTCTTTGATATGCCGAATCTAACCGTGTATTTAGATTCTTAATTTTTGGTTCTGTTTTCAAATTGGTCTACATTAAGGTCCAAAGGGTCCAAAATTAAACTTAGTTTGATTTTAACAAAAATTTAACTCTTAGGGTACTTTGATATGCTGAATCTAAACAAGGATTTAGATTTTTGATTATGGGCCCAGTTTTCAAGTTGGTCCAAATCGGGGTCCAAAATTAAACTTTGTTTGATTTCAACAAAAATTGAATATATGGGGTTCTTTGATATGCTGAATCTAACCATGTATTTAGATTTTTGATTTTTGGGCCCCATTATCAACTTTGTCCACATTGAGGTCAAGAGGGTCCAAAATTAAACTTTGTTTGATTTCATCAAAAATTGAATTCTTGGGGTTCTTTGATATGCTGAATCTAACCATGTATTTAGATTTTGGATATTGGACCATAATAGGTGAATGTCCAATTTAAAATTTTTAAGTTCTTAGACCACATTCATTCTGTGTCAGAAACCTATGCTGTGTCAAATATTTAATCACAATCCAAATTCAGAGCTGTATCAAGCTTGAATGTTGTGTCCATACTTGCCCCAACTGTTCAGGGTTCGACCTCTGCGGTCGTATCAAGCTGCTCCCTGCGGAGCATTTTATTCAAACTTGATTTATATTTTAGGTCTATCATCCCAATACTGCAGAATTCTGTTTGGCCCTAGTCTTGAAGAGGCTTTGTCCAGAGATATAAGGAGCGCTGAAGGTAAAAGAGTACAGTGCACAAAAGTTAATTCCATACCTTTTACATTTATATTTGCAGAAGAATTAAAATGATTTCCTAGTTCATCTATGTCGGGGGGGATACTGAAGTCCTGTAAATGACATATGATAGGAAGCTACCTTTAATATCAGTTTGTACCTGTATTATTATGAATCACAGTTTATTATTCAGTAAAGATCTGTCTTAAGTCTATTTAATAGAAAATTTAAGAACACTTGATGATACATGTATTTTTGCTTTAAATATTCAAGGATTCTCTAATTGTTGTGCTGAAATTTACACCAGGGAACTGAATATAGATAAATCTGATATGAACAGCAATAATTGTCTTTTACTTGATTTGCATATTTCAGTTTCAACTGTGAAACTACATTAAAAATGTTGTCAAAATAGACAAAATTTTATTCCCTGTTAGTACTCCTTACCTGTGGGCTGTAATATTATTGCCTCTACCCAAAATACTGTTTTTGTCGAGCCTGCAACTTTTGTCGCAGAAAGCTCGACATAGAGATAGTGATCCGGCGGCGGCGGCGGTTTTAGAAGGTGGAATGTCTGGATGCTTCATACTTTGTATATGGATGCCTAATGTTACGAGGTTTCCGTCAGTCACATGTCCAATGTCCTTAACCTCATTTTCATGGTTCAGTGACTACTTGAAAAAAAAGTTAAGATTTTTTGTAATGTTAAATTCTCTCTTATTGTAAGTAATAGGATAACTATATTTGGTATGTGCGTACCTTGCAAGGTCCTCATGCCCGTCAGACAGTTTTCACTTGACCTCGACCTGGCAGGTGTCATCTGACCTTGACCTCATTTTCATGGTTCAGTGGTCAAAGTTAAGTTTTTGAGTTTTGGTCTTTTTTTCTAATACTATATGCAATAGTTCAACTATATTTGGTGTATGGAAATATTTTATAATCTATATGTCAGTCACGCAGGTTTTATTTGACCTTGACCTCATTTTCAAGGTTCATTGCTCAGTGTTAAGTTTTTGTGTTTTGGTCTGTTTTTCTTAAACTATAAGCAATAGGTCAACTATATTTGTTGTATGGAAGAATTGTTAGCTGTACATGCCTGCCTAGCATGGTTCATCTGACCTTGACCTCATTTTCATGGTTCATTGGTCAATGTTTAGTTTACTTGGTTAATGTTAAGTTTATGTGACAGTTGTAATAAAGCTTTATATTTAGGACTATCAACATAATATCAATGATTAGTTAAGAAGGCGAGACATATCAGCGTGTGCACTCTTGTGGTTTATTTGGCCCAGTTGCTCTCCATACTTTTAGAGGTCAACTGTATGGTATGTATTTCGAAATTGATTCATATTTCCTCAACTGGAGGCTATTTGTTGTCATGTTTCTCAGGTTTAAGGTGGAGTTTGTGCCCAAATATGAAATTTAAAAATTGAAATCTGATAAAACATGTTTTCTTCAGAGGGGTTGGCTTCCCTTCTGTGTCTGGCACACACAGTACAAAGGCCTAAAACTTCCCAAAAATAGTGTAAACTCGCAGGCATATAACTACTGATGGTTTGTAATATGCTTAGGGAACAACTACTTCGGTTGTAGGTCCTGGTGAAGGGAAAAAATTGGAAAATTCTAGATTTTTGGTGGAAATTACCTTCTTTAGACTGCCATACTTAGTTTTACTGCGACTTAAGCACTTTTTTGGTTAATTTTCTCACTGGGGTTCACTGACTCCACTCTACATGCAGACTATAGTGGGATGCATCCTTCCGTCTTCCAGGTCAAGAAATAGGAATAAAAATTGTCAGTGTAGACTATTTATATAAAGCTTTATATTTCAGAAGGTAGAAGACCTGGATGCTTCATACCTTGTATGCAGATACCTTATGTTACGACGTTTCCAACTGTCATATGTCCTTTGTAATTGACCTCATTTTCATGGTTCAGTGACTACTTGAACACATTTTTTATTTTTTTGTCATGTGAATTTCTCACTTATTATGAGTGATAAGATAACTATATTTGGTATATGGGCTCTACATGTCCATCAGAGAGGGTTCACCTGACCTTGACCTCCATTTCATGGATCAGTGATCAAGGTTAAATTTACGGGATTAGGTCTGTTTCTCAGATACTACCAAATAGCGGGTTATTTTCGCAAGGTGTTTATTTTCGCTTATTTTGGCAGGTCAGGAGAAATCACGAAAATAAATTCCACGAAAATTTATGCATCGTTCCATACTTTCTAAGTTAAAGTGTTTTGTAAACTATCTATTTTTCCCCGTTCGACAGATCAATCACAGTTTTTGATAAATTAAACAACATAAATGCCAATGGTCATTGTTCACTGGCTATCAGGTGTTAATTAGTTTATTGGTTACATAATAAAATAAATAATAATATAAGAGTGTAAGGTACGATGTCAGGTATTTTATCCTTATTAATTAGTGTCAAATTATATAAGAGTTGCAAGTCACTCATGATGATTTTTGTTGAGCCTTCGACTTTAGTCGAAAAAGCGAGACATAGCGATCCTACATTCCGTCTGCGTCGTCGGCGGCGGCGGCGTCCACAAATATTCACTCTGTGGTTAAAGTTTTTGAAATTTTAATAACTTTCTTAAACTATCCTGGATTTCTACCAAACTTAGACAGAAGCTTGTTTATGATCATAAGATAGTATCCAGAAGTAAATTTTGTAAAAATAGAATTCCCTTTTTTCCGTATTTTACTTATAAATGGACTTAGTTTTTCTGCCGGGAAATATTACATTCACTCTGTGGTTAAAGTTTTTAAAATTTTAATAACTTTCTTAAACTATCCTGGGTTTGTACCAAACTTGGACAGAAGCTTGTTTATGATCATAAGATAGTATCTAGAAGTAAATTTTGTAAAAAAATAAATCCATTTTTTCCTTATTTTACTTTTAAATGGACTTAGATTTCCTGCCAGGAAACAACACATTCACTCTGTGGTTAAAGTTTTTAAAATTTTAATAACTTTCTTATACTATTTTGGATTTGTACCAAACTTGGACAGAAGCTTGTTTATGATCAAAAGCTAGTATCTAGAAGGAAATTTTGTAAAAAATTAAATCCATTTTTTCCGTATTTTACTTTTAAATGGACTTAGATTTTTTGCCAGGAAACAACATATTCACTCTGTGGTTAAAGTTTTTAAAATTTTAATAACTTTCTTACACTATTTTGGATTTGTACCAAACTTGGACAGAAGCTTGTTTATGATCAAATGCTAGTATCTAGAAGGAAATTTTGTTTTCTTTCAGTTAACATTACATTCAGTCTGCAGTTAAAGTTTTTAAACATTTATTAGATTCATAAACTATCCTGGATTTTTACCAAACTTGGACAGAAGCTTCTTTCAATCAAAAGATAGTATCAAGAGGAATATTTTTATTGATTTACTTCCTCATTTTTGTTGAGCCTGCGATTAACAGAAAAAGTAGGCGAGACACTGGGTTCCGCGGAACCCTTACAAATTTTATAATCTAATTAGTACATCAAAGGTCCGGTCAATTTCGTAACTGATCAACCGTAACATTTACAAGAAGTTTGTACACCTGTGAAAAATAACTATGTACCGGTATTCTATTGATTAACTATATCAAAATATAATAAATAAAAAAAATTCATGCAGGAAAAACAAGCATTTAACCATAACAATAGACCCTTGTTTGTCAATTTTTACAACTTTTTAACTAGAACCATTTCAGTATCCGCCAAAATTTTTCGTATACTTTGTTGCCTCTAAATCGCGAAATTTTACACCCGCGAAAATAACCCGCTATATGGTATTAGCAGTAGGTCAACTTTATGTGGTGAATGGAATGATTGTAAGGGGTGCATGTCTGTCAGGCAGGTTTCATCTGACCTTGATTTCATTTTTTTGGGGTTAATTGGTCAATGTTCAGTTTTTGTGTTTTGGTCTGTTTTTCAATTACCATAAGCAATAGGTCAACTATATTTGGTGAATGGAATAATTGTAAGGTGTACATGTCTGTCTGATAGGATTTATCTGACATTGACCTCATTGTCATGGATCTTTAGAAAAAGTAAGTTTATGTGATACTTATAGTAAAACCTTTAACTTTAAGACTTTCAACATAAAATCAATGGTTAGTTAAGCAGGCCAGACATTTCAGCATGTTCACTCTTAATTCAAAAAGTATACACACCAAATAAAAGACACAAAACACTGAAGAGGCAAGGATTCTTATCCATAACCTGTCTTACAGAAACAGAAAAAATTTAACAGGTTCTAGCTTTCCTATACATATACAATATAGCATGTTTTTTAGCTCACCTGGCCCAAAGGGCCAAGTGAGCTTTTCTCATCACTTGGCTTCCGGCGTTGTCGTCGTTAACTTTTTACATTTAAAAATTCTTCTAGAGGACCACTGAATGGAATGAAACCAAACATGGCATGAATGATCCTTATGAGGTGCTGACCAAGTGTTGTTACTGTGAAGCCGATCCATCATCCAAGATGGCCCCCAGAGGGGGACTAAGTTTAACATAGGACCCTATGGGAAATACATACAAATGTCTTATTTTAGGGAACCACTGAATGGAATGAAATAAAACATGGCATGAATGTTCCTTATGAGGTGCTGACCAAGTGTTGTTACTTTGAAGCCGATCCATCATCCAAGATGGCAGCCAGAGGGGGACTTAGTTTAACATTGGTCTATATAGGAAATACATACAAATTTCTTCTTTTAGAGAAACACTAAATGGAATGAAATAAAACATGGCATGAATGTTCCTTATGAGGTGCTGACCAAGTGTTGTTAATTTGTAGGCGATCAATCATCCAAGATGGCCACCAGCGGGGGACTTTGTTTAACATAAGACCCTATGGACAATACATACAAATGTCTTCTTTTAGAGAACACTGAATGGAATGAAACCAAACATGGCATGAATGTTCCTTATGAGGTGCTGATCAAGTGTTGTTACTTTGTAGCAAATCCATTAACCAAGATGGTTGCCAATGGGGGACTTAGTTTAACAAAGGAACCTTTGGGAAATATATACAAATTTCTTATTCTAGAAAACCGCTTAATGGATTGAAACCAAACATGGTATGAATGTTTCTTTTAAGGTGCTGACCAAGTGTTGTTACTTTGTAGCTGATTTGTCATCCAAGATGGCTGCCAGCAGGGGCAGTAAGTTTAACATAGGACCCTATGGGAAATACATACAAATGTTTTCTTTTAGAGAACCACTGAATAGAATGAAACCAAACATGGCATGAATGTTCCTTATGAGGTACTGATCAAGTGTTGTTACTTTGTAGCCGAACCATCATCCAAGATGGCCGCCAGCAGGGGACTTAATTTAAAATAAGACCCTATGGGAAATACATACAAATGCTTTTTCTAGAGGAGCACTGAATGGTATGAAACCAAACATGGCATAAATGTTCCTAATGAGGTGCTGATGAAGACCTTAATACATGTATCTTTTAGATTGAGATATACTGTAAACTGCAAAAATATCAAGAAAAGAAAATCTACACATAAGTCCACATGAGCAAAATTGTCAATTGACATCTTGTTGGAGTTATTGTCCTTACAACAGGGCTTCCAAAAAATATTTGAGCCAGCCGGACATTTTATATCTTATCCCGATTTTAATCCCTTTAGACTTAGTAACAAAAGGCAATTATGGTAATCAGTTGGCCATCATATAACCAATGATTGACAATAAAACGATATTTAACTTTACTTTGATATAAATTCGATGTTCTGACGTAAACTGTTAAATTGAAAGTGCAATCATTCGAAGTGTGCAACATCAGCGTTCTTATTCTGCCTTAGACTCTTTATTTGTGCAAAATAACGTTGTCAAAAACTTTACTTTCGTTTTTAAAAATCACATTTTCCTAATCCGGATATTGACTTGAAAATGGTAAATCACGGACCGGAGACGGATACGTAAAATCCGTGTACGTTCACAAAGCATGATTGAGTTAAGTAGCTCTTTCCAAGTTATTTCTTCAAGAAATTACTCGAAATGAACGTTAGATAAAGGTATCAATGATAATTTTAGCATTTTTGAAGAATTAGGATGCATAATTAAATTTCCCACCAGTGCACATGCGCACACGTGTACTAGTTCAAACAACGTGGTTCTGACGATTATTCGTTTAAAACCTTTTTTAATTTTTCGTCAAATCATATTTATTAATGTATTTCTTATAATTTCAATCTTTCAGACTAAATTAATTAGATGCAAACTGCTGAAATGTAAGAAAATAACTTTGAATACCCTTTAGCATACCCCAGTATTTAACACGATGTACAGTGTTTAAATATAATAATGAATATCATACAAATTCATTTATAAATATTCTTATTTGAAGAATTATTTTAAAATCTCAGGATACTTTTTTAAAAACTGAATGCTCAGTTAAAATAATATCTACAAAGCGTAATTTAATAGGATGTTGTTCCATACACGCTTACATGTTTGACCTCGTTTACCTGATCACCTTTATGTCCATTGTTATGCATCATTAATTCTATTGATTAAGACAAGCTAAGGACACCTCATCAAAGGTAACAACCTGTAATCAGTGAATGATTTATGGCTTCAATATTACTATTGAAGTGATAATTGTTTGACAGCTTGTTGTTATTTAAATAAAAGAAAACGTGTTTTTTCTACTTTGTATTGATGTACACAAGCTTAAGACCAAGCCGTACATTTATGTACCCAGAGGATTAGACTAACTGAGACACTTCAAAGTATCTGAAATATGCTGCATCTGTTTTATTAAACCCAATTATGACCGAAATATCTTTGTGAAATAGATTGCCACAATTATAAACTAAAATGCCCAAAGCCCCAAACGGACATTTTTATCGATCGATAGTTGGTAAAAATTGAAATGACCGTTTTATGAAAATGCCTTGAATAACAAAAAGTGGCAAACCAATTCTATTTGACCGTTTGAGGCTGAGAGCAGCCGGACTTTTTATGAAAGTTTCGGTCAAGTCCGGAATATATGACCGTTTTGGAAGCCCTGCCTTACAAAGTCATTTTCTACGATTTCAATGAATTAATTGGTTATTTCTGTAAACTTTACAAAGATTCTTCTGCTTTTGATGAAATTACGGGCTAATATTAAACCAAATTTGGCCTCAATCATTATTAGGGTATCTGTTATGATTTTAATCAATTTTTACATGATTTCTAAAACCATAGTAGAATCAGGTGAGCGACACAGGCTCTTGAGAGCCTCTAGTTTAATTTCTTTTCAGAGTACTCTGTATCTAGTTTAACATTTACTCCAAGTCTTGGCGTGATTGTGTATCAGCTGCGTCAGTGTGCTAGTAATTTCATGTATGTCTATGATAGTCACCAGCAACATCAACGCAAACAGCACAGCAGTCTTAGTACAGATGACTTGAAAGAGGTAACCTAGAAAAACCTAAATTTTGCTATGTTAATCCTTGTATGAAACTTTTTATTTTCATTTCAAATTTGCATGTGTTACTCATAAAAAAATGGATTTCACATAGTTAAAAGGAATTGTGAGCAGGGGTTCAAATTAACATTTGGTACTGAAAGGTCCAGGACCTTTGACACTCCAAACTGAAAGGTCCACAACCTAAATCCCAGGTCCTACTTTTACAGGAAAAATTTCATAACGCAATAAGATACAAAATTAATGAGCTTTTGGAGTGAGGTTAGTTTGTTTCATCATATTTGAACTGCATGTGATGTTTTGTTTCTCATATAATGCCTAAATGGGCTATACAGCGAATAAACAGTTTACAACCTTCAATATTGAAGTACTGCTTACACATCAACACCATTTTTGCACTTGATTTCAAGAATAAATTCATAGTCACTGATGGGTTTCCCTTTTTTGCAATACTGTATGCAGTGTTGAAAAGAACCTTATATCTATTTAACTGATCAGGCTTACATTCTGCTTGAGAATACATTGTCCAAGTTTAGTGTCTGACAATTAATCTTTAGTCATAATTGGACTTAAAATTTAGGTCACTTTCATGGATCCACTGCTTTGCACAAGATAAATGCTGGGGTGTCACTTCGTATATTTTTATTGGGTCTATTTTAAGATTTTGTGTTCCCCTTACAAGTGCACTTTCTTTTTCTGAATGGAAGGGGAACTTCTGGAAGTATGTGCATGACTTTAGACCAGTTGATTCATCAAAATATAGCCATGGTCGATCGATTTTTCTGTGGGGCTTAAATGTCCGTTCCCGTTTTTCACGATTGCATTTTTGGTCTTTATTTGATTTCTTTTGAAGACGTTGAAGACACAGGCACTTGTTTCTATCCATGGGAAGGTTGAATATCCTTCTATATTTATGGATAGTCGACCTTTCCATGGATAGAAACAAGTGCCTGTGGTTGAAGACCGTTCATAATCTTCAGGCTTTCTCTTGGAAGATGTGACACCAAAGTGAAACGGACTCATTTTGTTCGAAAATGTCTAAATGATTAAATGATTTGCCACGTGACGTCTCTCAACTATTTATAACCTTGTGTTTCCAAGAAATACAAGGTTAAAAATAACTTTTATCACTCGTCGGCAAGGTCAGGGATGAAACATTTTTTTATCTCAATTTCAATAATAATATGGCTTAAAAATGACAATACAGATGGTTAAAAAGGTCAGCAAAAATCATTTTTATTTCATTTAAGATCGAAGGTCCGTCGGGCGTAGCTAGTAACCAAAACGAAAGTCCGATTGCAACAGTGGAAGGTCACGGACCTCGGACCACCACTAATTTGAACCCCTGGTGAGTCACTGCCATCACTTTGTTTCTGCTGTTCATCAATATCAGTTGTAATATATTTGTCATTCAGGGTTGAATGACAGCATAGCCATCAAAACATATGATTAGGTCAACACCCAATGTTAAGTTTTCTGATTAGATTCATTTCAGAATAAGTAGATATGATTTGGTATACATTAACATCAGTATCCATGAATTTTTGCATGGTATATAAAACCCCACTGTGCCTTGTTCCTGTGACTTTAAAAGTTTTTTTTCAGGTCTACTTTCAGGACCTCCATAATTTGAATTCTGGTTGTCCTGAAATTGTTGTGGCACTCCATAAATATTTACGGATATCCTGAAATTGGATTTGAAGTCCTGAAATAAAAGCTGTTCTAAATGTTTGTCCTGAAATAATTCTGGATATCCTAAAACAGAATCATGAAGATTCTGAAATATTTCAGGATATCTGAAATTGAATCATGGAGGCCCTGAAATTTTTCAGGAGGTCCATTATTAATTATGAATATCCTGAAATTGAATTAAAGAATGCCTTAAATTCAATAATTTTGACTAAATCTGTGCCTTATAGTGGCGTATCCTTTTGTGAGTTCACTCTCAATTCTAATTTATCTACTCGCAAAAGTCACTTCAATTAATTGCTCATAAAAATAAGATGGTTAAAAGTATAATTTTTTACTTTTCATTCTTCAATCTAACAAATAAATCACTGGTTTACAATGAATTGATAAATGGTCAACTATTATTCTTATATTTTGCAAAATTTGTACCAAGAAAGCACAACAGGAAGTTGTAATAAAAAGTTTTTTCCAACATAACATGTTAGTTTACCAGGTATGAACATGAAACATTCAAAATAAGTATGGTTCCATTAAAATACAAATGTGAGTAGATGTCAATCATTTAAAATTAGTTGTAAAGATTGCAAATTAATTAGTTGATTGAAATGATATAGTTTATATTCTAGTCAGATTTTTTTTCCTCAGTATTCTGGAGTACCTATGAGTGAGAAGATTGCATCACATCAAAGACAGCAGTTAGCCAGGAGGAGATTATCACAAATTGTCAATGATAAATGGAGAGAAATGCAACAGTTATCATGTATCCTCTAATCAATACTGGAGCTGCATATTTTTATGGCCCCACAACACAGTTGTTGGGGCCATATAGTTTTAACCTAATCCGTCATTCCGTCATTCCGCAACGAACAGTAATACAGACTTTTTTTCTAAACACCTTCACATATTGAGCTGATTTTTAGTATGTGAGTCAACTATGATGAGTTACAGATTGAGTTTACATTTGGTTCTGCTCCATTGATTTTTGCTGAACTTATGGGCTTTGTCTCCTAATTCAGGAGTCTGTTGTTCAGTGGTTGTCTTTTTGTTGATGTGCTTCATAAGTGTTTCTTGTTTCTTGTTTTTTATATAGATTAGACCGTTGGTTTTTATGTTTGAATTGTTTTACACTAGTCATTTTAGAAACTTATACACAATGCTTATTACCACAAAACACAGATAAAGTTTGAATTTTGGTGGCGTCACTTTAACCGTTCTAGAGTTATGCTCCTTTATAAATGGAAAAATTGCAAAATTTTTAGTTTCCATTCTCTAACTTAAGTTTGCCTCAACCAAATGTTATGAAACTTATACACAATGCTTATTACCACAAAATACAGATCAAGTTTGAATTTTGGTGGTGTCACTTTAACCGTTCTAGAGTTATGCCCCTTTATAAATGGAAAAATTGCAAAAATTTTATTTTCTTCTAAATATCAAGTAATTTTTAAAATTGGAGTTATCTTCCTTTGTCCATGATTATAGTTGAATCAACTACAATAAATGCTTTATACAATGCAATGTTTAATTTTGACTTCCACTGATAAAACACAGATCAAGTTGAATTTGGGTAGTGTCACTTTAACCATTATTGAGTTATGCCCCTTTATAAATCGAAAGATTGCAAAATTTTTAGTTTCCATTCTGTTACTTAAGTTTGCCTCCACCAAACATTATGAAACCTATACACAATATTCATTACCACAAAACTAAGATCAAGTACAATTTTTTTGTTTCCATTTTCTAACTTTAGTTTGCCTCAACCAAATGTTATGAAACTTATACACAATGCTTATTACTACATAATACAGATTAAGTACGAAATTTGGTGGCGACACTTTTACCATTCTTGAGTTATGTCCCTTTATAAACATAAAAATTGCTGAATTTTTCGTCTCCGTTCTCTAACTTTATTTTGTCTCAATCAAATGTCATAAAACTTATACACAATCATTCTAGAGTTATGCGTGTTTACAAATAGAAAAATTGCTGAATTTTTAGTTTCTGTTCTCTACTTAAGTTAGCCTCAACCAAATGTTATGAGACTTACACACAATGCTTATTACCACAAAACTCAGATCAAATTTGGGTAGCGTCTCTTGAGCATACTTGATGAAGTTTATTAAAGAAAATATTTATACACACTGAAATGAGTTTTATATGTATCTGATATTTAATGTACAGAAATAATTTTCAAAAATCTGGAAGTAGTTAAATGTTTTGAAGATTGACATTTAACTATTCAAGTGTATAGTTGTGTGCATGATTTATCTGCTTTTAAAATGATGGGTTTTTTTTTCAAAAAATATTATGATGTCATTTCTTGTTGGATTTTAATCAATTTGTTACCAATAAAAGCTTGATGGTCACAGGTTTATTTGGGTTTGTATTTTTGTTATGAAGCATTCTCATTTTCTGATCATACAAACACAAGTATTAATTTTTCTGTATAGAAATTTGCCACATATTTTTAACAAAATTAGATTGTAAAAACATTGTGATACATCTTTACATTATGATAAAAACAAAAACAACTGAAGACAAAATTATGACCAAATTAACAAATACAAATGGGAACTTCAGACAATTCTGTGTCTTTCAATGTTAACATTAGTATTTTTAAAATGCTTTCAAAATAATTTTTTATGTACATATCAGTTTGACAACTATTTTGAGGCCCTGGCATGGTCCAGCAACTTTGAATTAATTGGCTGTTAATCAGATTGTCTTTTTGGAAAGATTGGAACTGTTGTTCCAAGTCTTTCTTAAGGCACCGGCCTCCCAAACAGAAAGTATCACAGGTTAGCTTCTAAATCTACAAAATGTTTTCACACAAAAAATATACCGGTAGTTCCCTACATTTCTCATGTCTGTGCATATGCGACGGTGGCGTCGGCGTCAACAATGTATTAGTTTGTGATTAGGTCTAGTTCATGGTGAACCACTAGTGGTAGGTCAATGATATTTGATATGCAGTAGTATTAGCATTGGCACATCTCATTACCATGGAGATTATTTGGCCCCTCCCCCTCAGTCAAGGTCTATTGACTTTGAAACTTTTCATAGTTTACATGTATTAGTTTGTGATTAGGTCAATTTATGGGGAACCACTAGTGGTAGGTCAATGATATTTGGTATGCAGTTGTATAAGCATTGGCATATCTCATTTCCATGGAGATTATTTGGCTCAGCCTCCTTAGTCATGGTCTATAGACTTTGAAAATTTTGCTAAGTTAACATGTATTAGTTTGTGATTAGGTCTGTTCAAGGGGAACCATTAGTGGTAGGCCAATGTTACTTGGTGTTCAGTTGTATAAGCATTAGCACATCTCATTTCCATGGAGAATATTTGGCCCGCCCCCTCAGTCATGGTCTATTTACTTTGAAACTTTTGCTTAGTTTACATGTATTAGTTTGTGATTAGATCAGTTTAAGATGAACTGCAAATGTTAAGTCAATGATATTTGGTATGCAAATTTATTGGCATTTGCAAGTATCGTTTCCATGGAGATTATATAGCCCCACCCCTGATCATGGTTCATTGACTTTAAACTTTTACATAGTTTACAAGTTAATGTTTTAGTTTAGGTTTGTTTAAAGGGAACGACTTATAATAAGTCAATGGTATTTGGTATGCAGTTGTATTAGCATTGGCACATCTCATTCCATGGAGATTGTTTAGCCATGTACCTTCAGTCATGGTTCATCGACTTTGAATATTTGCATAACTTACATGTTAAAGTATTGCTATTTTAATTTCAACATTTGCATTATCAAAATTACAAAAAGGCGAGACATATCTCTGTGATAACAGTTTATTATCACTTTAATTAGGTAAGAGTAATGATACAATACCAGTTTGATTGACAACTGCCTGATCACCAAACAATCAGAGACAAGGTTAAATGTCAATCATATTGACCAAATTACTAATCAACCTAAGTCTTACATAATTAAACAGACCCTGCATTATACATCTCAATACACAAATACTTGACCTCATTATTGAATACATTGATTGATTGATTAGTGTTTTAACGCCACTTTTAACACTATTGTGCTATTTCTTGGCGGTCAGTTTTTATTGGTGGAGGAAGCCGGAGAGCCAGGAGAAAACCACCAACCATCGGTAGGAAAACTGACAATCCTAGTCAATTAAGATTGGAGTCGAGTGCACCTCACAACCTCAGTGTTGACTGGCTAGTGATACAGTAGTTGGACTACTTAGACCACTCGGCCACCGTGGCCCCTATTGAATACACAGATGTATATATTAGATGTTTGATTAGATGTTTGATATATATAGAAGTGATAGATTTATTTATTGCCTATTACTTTTGATTTACACTACATAGAGTGATTCTATAAATTATGTCTGAAAGATAAATGATTAAGGATTAACAAGATCTTTTTTCAAAAGAAAAGACAAAATATGAAATCTATATATAAAAAAAGGCATTCAAGTATTGAATACAGGAAGTGTATTTTTGCAAGTAAGAATGAATCCCCATTTCAATAAAATAAGTTTTTTAATTTGTTTATGTTGAAAAGGAACATTTTCAATGCCCTTTATTAGAAAATATTAAAATATAAATTGAATTAAAATCAACTTTTAATCTTCAGTGTCATATAATCATGATAATTGTTTTCAACATCAATAAGCAATTCTTAGAAGAGGAAAAATAAATTCCCCAAAACAACCTTTTTAGATTAGTTTTTGGAGACCATAAAAATCTTAGTTTCAAGTCTATCTGTTGTACCCATGTTCTACAAGGATAATTGATAAACTTTATTAGAAGAATCTTTATTTGGAAATTTCTTCTGTTTCTTAAGATAAAACATAAAAGTTGAAACATGTAATAGGGATCATTTTTATGCACCTGTCATAGCGGAGGGGGCTTTAATTTTTACCGTTGTCCGTCCATACGTCCCAAAATTGGTTTCCCTTCTCTAACTTTAGTTTGCTTCAACCAAATGTTATGAAACTTATACAAAATGCTTATTACCACAAAACACAGATCAAGTTTGAATTTTGGTGGTGTCACTTTAACCGTTCTAGAGTTATGCCCCTTTACAAATGGAAAAATTGCTGAATTTCTCGTTTCTGTTCTCTAACTTAAGTTTGCCTCAACCAAATGTTATGAAACTTATAACCACAAAACTCAGATCAAGTACAAATTTTGGTGGCGTCACTTTAACCGTTCTAGAGTTGTGCCCCTTTACAAATGGAAAAATTGCTGAATTTTTCGTTTCCGTTCTCTAACTTTAGTTTGCCTCAACCAAATATTATGAAACTTATACACAATGCTTATTACCACAAAACACAGAACAGTTTGAATTTTGGTGGTGTCACTTTAACCGTTCTAGAGTTATGCCCCTTTACAAATGGAAAAATTGCTGAATTTCTCGTTTCTGTTCTCTAACTTAAGTTTGCCTCAACCAAATGTTATGAAACTTATAACCACAAAACTCAGATCAAGTACAAATTTGGGTAGCTTCACTTTTAACGTTCTTCAGTTTTGTCCCTTTATAACTTTATATGATATGAAAGCGGGGGCATCATCTGTGTCCCATGGACACATTCCCCATTTATTAGGTTAAGATATGAAATTGCAATTTAAACAAAATTGTTGTCCCAATTGAGGGACCTGCTATCATTGATGCACATTTAGCATATTATATCTACTAAAAAGTGTTTATCCTTTAAAGACCTTCATTTAATGCAATTGTCAGCAGCAGTGCTATATTGATATAAAAATAAGGAGATGTGGTATGATTGCCAATGAAACAACTATCCACCAAAGTTCAAATGAAGTGGATGTAAGCAATTATAGGCAACTGTACGGCCTTCAACAACGAGAAAAACCCATACCGTATGGGTTGACAATAAAAGGCACCGACATGAAAAATATTTAACAATTCAATTGAGAAAACTAACAGCCTGATTTATAACAAAACAGTTTACGAAAAACAAATATGACAGACATGAACCAATGATTCTTTTTTGTTCTTTTTTGTCCACATCATACCTAAATATAATTTGAAATTATTCAAACTACTCTTCCAATCTTTCCATGAGTAATCTCCATCATTTTGATTTTGAATTTTCTGCCGCCAGGCGAGACATATTTCTGTCAGCAGTTTATTATAATGTCTGCTTTATAAGTATCAATCTGGTACCAAGAATTTGGTAATAGAAATAAGAAAAGGGTTCACAACTTTTCATTTCAAAGAGTCAATGTACAATATTTTCTATGTCAGGAAGAAAATAGTACTTACCAACTTTATTTAGTAACTGAATTTTACCTGGGCTGATTATAATTTCAAAGTATTATTTAATCACAATCAGTTTCACTATTCATATCAATCAGAAAACAGCACTTTATAAATTTTATGTATAAAGTTTTATATTTCATTATTTTTTATGACTTAATGACTGCATATAAAAACGTATAGGGTTTTTTAATAACATTATCTTTTTACTGACTACCGGTAGGTAAAAGCCAAACAATGTTTGGTCAATAGAATCTTCAGCAGTCATTTTGCACCAGTTGCTGTTTCTGAGATATATCATTTGCACCAAATTTTATTAATCAAAGGTATCATTTGTGCCAATTTATCTGTATGAATATTATACAATTAGCCTATGTTTACCTGCTACAGATACAAGTCATTAAAAATCATGATACCTTATGTACAATAAAATATGAAATAAACAGGACAATTATGGCATAAATAGAGGTGAAAATTAAGATGATGTTGAACAACAAACAAATGTACTGCATATCTATACAAGAACAACTCACAGAAGTAAGAATGCCAATTATTTCAAATAGCCTGTGAAACAAAGACATCATAAATGGTTTCTGAGAGACCATCAACAATAATTTGTTAGGTGTTGTTCAATTTTAATGAAGAGGACTGTCCAAAGTATTTCCAACAGTTTATACTTTACCTTAAATCACAGAAAATAAAACCACCAGCCATGAGAAACAAACATAATGGAGAAAACTATAAGTGGTTGAAAAAAGCTACAAATATAAGTCTTTAAGCAAGTGTAATCTGCCAGTCCTTATAGTGTGGAGACTCAATTGTTTTAACAAAAATAAGATTTTTTTATAAGAATAGGCACAATAGTACATTTCATTTTTGCCGAAAATGATACTAGGTTATTTTGAATACTAGTGGTGCAAAAGGAGGCATTTTTGGGGCAAACAGATTTCTCCCATAGAATAATTGTAAGATGTACATTTCCATCATATGGGATTTTCCTGACCTTGACTTCACTCTGCAAGGTTTATGGTGAGAATTAAGTTTGCTATTATATGTAGTAGGTCAGTTTTATTTTCTCTCTCAGATGTCTTTACATTTTTCTTGACAATTATCAGATATTATAGAGAATTGTATATTTATATTATGGAGACACCTTGAATATTATTTAATTCACTGTGTTCCAAATGACCAACAGCCCTCCATGTACCAAGTTCATATTCATCGTCAACAACAGATGAGGCGTTTACAAGGTAATATTATGGTTAAGGTATCTCAAAGATATATTAAAACATCAAGTTCACTTCCTGAAATTTACATTATTTAGCGTTCAGTTGAATATCACTATTAGTTGTAAACTGCCTTTGTTTGAGTATAAACATAAAGTAAGCTGTACTGCAATTTTTAGCTCACCTCTCCCATTTGGGCCAGTGTGAGCTTTTGCTATCACTTGACGTCTGTCTTTGTCCATCAACTTTTACAAAATCTTCTCTGAAACAACTGGGCCAAATGGAACCAAACCTGGCCACAATCATCTTTAGGGTATCTAGTCTATAATATAAATGTGTCCGATGATCCCACCTTCCAACCCGCATGGCTGCTAAAGCTGAAAAAAGAACATAGAGGCGGAATTATTCAGAATGTTGATCTACCAACCATCTAATAGAAGTTATTGCCCTTAAATGACTATATTTACCTTTTTTTATATTTTGGCCATTATCTTCTAACACTATAATAGACAGAAGGAAACTAATTGGCAAAATCGATCAGCAGAACAAGATCTATAACTCAGTCAACATGGTCAAAATTTGTAATCGACTCCTTATAGGAATTTCTGCCCTTGAAAGATGTTTTCCCCATTTTTTGTGAAAAAACTGTGGTCGATTCCTGGTAGATAGAAACTGTAAACAACTAAAATAATCAGCAGAACAAGCTCTACCAATAAGTCAAATGGCCTAAAACATCAGTTAACTCCTTGTAAAAGTTATTGCCCTTGATAGACAAAATTTACCTTTTTTAGCCAAAGGGATAATTGGTGCCTCGTAATCCATTAACTTTTACAAAATCTTCTCTGAAACTACTGAGCAAATTGGAACCAAAGTTGGTGTATATATATTGCTTATTTGGAACTACCTTAAAATAAAAATACTGTTTTAGAAGTTAATGTGTATCATTAATACCTGTCTCTCTTTATCCTGTTGTTAAGGAGAACTGTTAGTGATTACAAAAATTTGACATTTCAAACCTTGGATTTACAAAATTTCTATATACACTTGTTCTTTCCGACATACATTGGCTTTAAAACTGTCATGATTATTATAAACTACAAACTGTTTTGTTCTAGAATAAGTATTGATATTTTTTAAAGAGAATAAGAAGCAACACTAGAAGTAAATGTGTTGATATTAGAAGTTACAAACCAGCAAAGATTATTTCAACAATATTTATAAATTATTGTCATACAAGCTTATTCTGTTTTATTAATATATTTTTTTTTCTTCACATTAATAAAAACAATATACTTATATTTATGTTAAGGGGATTTTTTTCTTTCTTTCTGAACTATACATTACCATTCCTTTTGGAAGAAATTATTACAGAATATTTTATATCTATAGTATAGAGTTAAGTGCTTTTCCTTTTGTTCCTGAATTTATTCTATCATTTATTCTTTTTATATGACTGCAACAAATTTGTGTTCATATATGCTATCATGTCGACGTTGTCGTCGTCGTCCGAAGACATTTGGTTTCCGGACAATAACTTTAGTATAAGTGAAAGGATCTCTATGAAATTTAACCACAAGGTTCAATAGCACAAAATGAAGATTGGGATTGATTTTGGGAGTTATGGTCCAAAAGATGCAAAACTGATCAGCAAGACAATTTCTACAAATAAGTCTACGTGGTCGAAATCTTCAGTCGACTCTTTATTAGAGTAATTGCCCTTGATGATGATTTTTACCAATTTTTTGTGTTTTTATCTTATATCTAAAAAATTATAATAAATAGATAGAAACTTAAATAAGTAAAACTGATCTGCAAGACAAGATCTTCAATTATGACAACTTGAAGGAAATCATCTGAAGACTCCTTATTGGAGTTATTGCCCTTTAATGACGATTTTAAACATTTTTTTGCATTTTGCCTTACATGATAAAAACTGAAATAGATAAATAGAAACTTTAGATAGCAAAAATAATCAGCAAGGCAAGATCTACAAACAAGTCAAATTTTGCTGATATAGTTAGTAGACTCACTCTATATAAGGAGTGATTGCCCTTAAATGAGGATTTTTGTTAACCTCTTTTGTGTTTTGAGCAAAAAGTAAAGAAGATAGAGAGAAACTAAACAGACAAAACTATCAGCATAACAAGATCAACAAAAAAGAGATTTTTCTCATGAATTCTATTCTCATGTGCTTTGTTGAATATGCAGCAACACAGACTCTTTAGAGCCTCTAGTTTTCCATTTCACATAGCAAAATAAGAACTTTGCAATATCAATGAGAATGCAAAATAAGAACTTTGCAATATCAATGAGAATGCAAAATAAGAACTTTGCAATATCAATGAGAATGTGAGCGAGGAATAATTTTGAGGTATGAACACTTTTTTTCCAGTTCAAAAAGTCTATAAACAAAATTTATAGAATTACAAATTGTAGATAAGGGTTAATGGAGGCACTTGCTACTCTATAGATTGAATATCTATGACTATAATTAAATATATTTATGTTTCTTTTGAATATTAGAATTAACTGGAACTTCAAGAAGTATTTTAGAACATCAACAACACCATTACACACAGGAGTCAGATGAGATGTCAAAGATTGTTTCTAGAGAAGAATTGGCAGCATTCAAGAGTAATGTAACTAATGTTGTCAGTGAATCGCTTCTGAAAAAAATTCAGGAGATCAATCAGGTAATTTTTAGCACTTGTGAATCTTTTTAGTTAGTCAGCATTCTTAGGTTCAAAATTCAAGAGATGTGCAAAATTAAAATAAATGGAACCTATACTCATTTATTGTCTCCACTCTCTTCACAGTTAAGGATATAGAAATGCTGATGTCTCAAACAAGTTCAAAATCAGCAATGATCAATAACTTTATCTAAGAAATGGCCTTTGGAAATGAAAATAATTTGGAATTTTGGCTGTGTAAAGGCTCTCGCACCAATCTTTCTCACCGACGTTAATAGAGAAATTCATAAAAGGTTTACCTCAGCAATATCTCAGATGTATTAGCGCCAATCTATCAGTTTTTTGCCCTTGAAAATGTAAATAATAGATAAAAATATTCATTGTAGTAGCTGTTACTGCAACTTTTCTCATCTAAGTTTAAAGGAAATTTATATCAAAGTGAAAATCACTGCGAATTGAATATATTTTTTGAAAAGATGTAGCCGTAGAAATGTAAATAATACAGAAAGTCATTGTCAGCGTTCTCATGCCTATATTTCTCAGTACCGTGTAATGTTCAAAATTTCATTAACAATAGAATTCATGTAAATCAAATATATGTTTTGGAGTTATGTCCCTTGGAAATGTAAATAACATGAAAAATCAACATTGTTAGCACTCTTGTGATTACAATTTCATCAAAAATTAATGGAATTTATGTAAAATATTTGAATTAGTAAGTAATAAGCCCAGACCTGATATTTTGTTGAGGTTATGCTTATGTCGAAGGTTAACACCAAATCTACCTAAAAAATAAAAAATCGGCTCTGAATAAATAATTTTTATTTTTATGCACCTTTCTATGTAATATCTACACTGAAATGGCTTTCATATCTGTATTTCTCATTACGATTTTATGAAACTTGTGTCAGAGGTTTTCATTGGTAGTATCTGGAGTTAAAAATCATTGTCAATTTATTAATTTTTAAAATAAGTGATTTTGCAAATTTCAGTATATCACCAGAGAAGATTGTGTAACAGCCTTGTTATTTATCAGTAGTAATCACATTGTTTTAGCCCTTTGCTGGAGAATAAATCCTATATTTAAGATAAACTTATTGCTTACCTTTTGAATGATCTGTTTTTTTTCGGAATTTGCCCACTATAAAGAGATTGGTTTGCCCTTGTTTGCTGTCATTCTGACAGCCTCTTATTAATATTTAAAATACAAATTTCTTGATAAATTATTAATAATAAAAGAGGTAGAAGACACCAAAGGGACAATCAAAAATCATAAGTAGAATAACTGACAACACCATAGCAAAAAATGAAAAAAACAGCTAAAAGACAAATCAACAGTCCACAAAACACTACACCAAAAACTAAAGACAGCAATATGAACCCCACCAAAACCAGGAGTGATCTCAGGTAAGCTCCAGAAAGGTAAGCAGATTCTGCTCAACATTTGACACTCCTCGTGTTGCTCATGGCAGGTAGATATTCAATGGAAAGTCTCAATTTGGTGAGATCACAATTGACAAAAAGACAAGGGGTTATTGCGACCTCAATTGGAACATATCTGCAACATATATGTTTTGTAATGTTTAACCAGATGATGTTGATGCCTGTAAAACTTTCAAAGGAATGACTTCAACTTTATCACTAGGAATCCTTGGTTCCATAGGTCTGAGGACATAGTTATCGTCCTTTGATTTTGGTTGTCTACAAATATAGTCCCAGGTGCGGACAGTGTACAACTGGCAAACTTTTTTCACACAACTTCTAAATTTATTTCTTTATATTTAATGCATAAGATATATATTAAGAAGGGGGATCACATAGTGATTTTGACCAGTTAAAAAAGGTCAAAAATTAGTATGTCTAAAGCTGTCAAACTGAATTATTAGACCCCCTTAACATAGAATTGTCCATATTTTGAGTTAGAGCTGGTAGACTTTTGTATAATTTTGTACAACTACACTGTGAAAATCTTTTTTGTGATAGACCAAGTGTGATTTTTATACGACCGCAACAAATTTTTGCGGTCGTATATTGGTATGACGTTGGCGTCGTCCTCTTCGTCGTCCGAAGACACATTGGTTTTCGCACAATAACTTTTGTTTAAGTGAATGGATTTCTATGAAATTTTACCATAAGGTTCAATACCACAAAAGGAAGGTTGGGATTGATTTTGGGGGTTATGGTACCAACAGTTAAGGAATTAGGGGCAAAAAAGGGGCCTAAAATAAGCATTTTTCTAGTTTCCAGACAATAACTTGTGGAACGGTGTATAGATCTCTCTGAAATTATACCACAAGTTTCCAAACCACAAAGAGATGGTTAGGATTTGCTTTAGGGGGTTATGGCTCAAACCGTTTAGGAATTAAGGGGAAAAACAAGGTGTCCTGGTTAATGGACAAATATTTTAGTACAAAACATAATTTAAAGCAGTGTAAGGGAGGTAATTCAAATAAATAATTTGAATTACCTCCCTTACACTGCTTTTAAATTATGTATAAAGTAATGGTTAATGAACAATTAAGACAATTTAAAAGCAGTGTAAGGGAGGTAATCCAAATACAATGTTTTACAAAAAAATCCATATGAAAGATTTGACACCATATTTTAAATTCTATTATAGAATAGATTAAGTAAGCACTATGGTAAATTTAAATGGGTAATAATGGTTGCAAACTCCATTGGAAATTTTAATTAAGATTATGACCATATCTTGAGGGAAAGAATTATTTTGGGGGAAGAAAGGGGGGGGGGGGGGGGGGGGGGTAAAAATAAATTGTGGGGAGAGTCAATTTTTTCTCATTTCAGATTTCAGAAATTAAAAAGAAAAATTCTTCAAATATTATTTTTTTGGCAAAAAAAAAGTGTGTGTGTTGTGGCGGGGGTTAATACGCAACAGCATAGTGTAGTGCACAAAAGCAAAAAAAAAGGGGGGTAAATTTTTTAATTTTTTTTGTTGGGGGAGGGGGGGGTCAATTCGCAACAGCAAAGTGTATTGCACAAAAGCAAAAAATTGAATATAAGTTCAAATTATATAACCAATTCTAAGTTCTTTGACTACATTTATTCTGTGTCAGAAACCTTTTATGTGTCAAATATTTAATTACAATCCAAATTCAGACCTGTATCAAGGGCGAATATTGCATCCATTTTTGCCCCAACTGTTCAGAGTTGGACCTCTGGGGTCGTATCCAGCTGCGCTCAGCGATGCAATTTATTTAGTTGGAATTTATTGTCTTAAAGAAATGCACTAAGAAATAACTGTTCTTGGGCTTAAGAGATGAATTCAGTATTATAGATACCAGTACAATGAATAAGTTTTGATTCTTGAAAAAGAAACCATGAGCCCGGAAGGCGAATGGTTTGTTTTTCATGAATCAACACTTATCCATTAGAATATGGCAAAGTGCTCTTGACCAATGAAATTGTAGGATTTGATGCCTCTTAATTGTGAAGAATGGATGTAAATCATGTTCTTAGTAAGGGATTATCCTATTATTTGGGTCGATTTTTTTCAAAACAAACAGTTTCTATAAATGAGTTATAACTGCCCCAAAGCACATTTATCAGATTGAAAGGATTTATCACACAGTGATTGAAACTGACTAAAAGTTGAATTGTGAAACCAAAAAAAACTCAAAATAAGTTGAAGTTTACTGGTGCAGTAAAATTGGTAACGTGAATGTTATTTTGAAAATATTAATAACTTCAAAATACTAAAAAATTAAACAATATCAAAGCAATGCAAAAAGAGTAAAAAAAAAAACTTTAAAGGAGACATGACACGATTTTTTTTTATTTTGATTTTTTTTATTAAATTAATAAATATTAGTTTTAAACCAGTTTTGTACAATTTTGCTGGTCAAAACCTGATAAATCAGCATTTTTCTGGTCAAAGAATCCAGCGCTTGTCATTAAGAATGATTTTTAATTAGATAACGATCACGTGATCGTGCTTACGTCAGTGGTTACAAGCTGGGAAAATGTCTCTTAACTGGACGATGTCGATATACTATGGACGGTATTGACAGCACTTTTCCCGATTACTGACAAACTATAAAGACATTGTGTGTGAAAAATAACCAAGAAAAGGATATTAATTTTTCATGTGAAGAGTCCAAAAACGACGATTTTTCAGTCAATACCGATCGGATTGTTACCATACTTATTTGGTTCAAGTTGTCTGATGAATAAATTTAATAGACCGCTTTCTGCATTTTTTTCATTTAAATAAAACTACTTTTCAATCATGATTGAAAATATAAATTTCTAATTATTGATGATCAAATTGTTCTTTTTTTTTCTCTCTGTTACAGTAATGTTATAATTATGTGTGCGCCAGAAGCAGAAAAAAAAAGATAGTAAAAGTCAAATTAGGCGTTCGCAAAGTGTTTTTTTTTTTATTTTATTTTTAATCCTTTATCACACTATTTCTGCATTAGGATATTCAATTAACAATTTTATTACTTTCCCCCTTTTATGTAAACAATTCAATTCAATATTTTATTTACGTCTCACCTAATGTATAAAATTACACAATACAAAACATTTATTGGAGGCTGTTGTTTTAGTGATTAAATGTTGACACCTATAGCATACTTGACCAGGTGAAAGGTAAGGCCATAAAAAAGGATATGTTTGTTTGCCCTAACCCTACCTACCCAGAAAATTGCTGCCTACTCAAAATCTTTTTATTGTCCTGATGTGAAAATTTTTTTTTATAATCAGATAGGCATGAAGACTAAAAAACGGATTATACTTCAATTTATCTTTGCCGAAAAAGAAAGAAAATGCCTACCTACCTACTCACTGTCTCTACCTTTGGGTAGGGTTTGGGCAAACCAAAATATTTTTAAGTGTGGCCTAAGAAGGCACCTGTAGTGTGATTTAGTTTCCATTTTAAAAAGAAATGTTTTTCATCATCTGAATCTTTACCAACTAAAAAGTTGTCAATAATTATATTCTATGTTCAATATAATAAAATTTAGAATGGAAATAGGGAATGT